GATTGGGAATGGGATGGGATGGGATGGGATGGGATGGGATGGGATGGGATGGGGTGGGAATGGGAATGGGATCAGAAGGGGGACGGGAATGGGGAATGGGAATGGAATTGGGGAATGGGGTGGGAGTGGGAATGGGAATGGGAACAGGATGGGATTGGGATGGAGTAGGATGGGATAGAATGGGATTGGGATGGAATGGGATCCATGGGATTGGGATGGGATTGGTTGGGATGGGATGGAATGGGATGGGATGGGATGGGAGGGAATGGGATGGGATGGGATGGGATCCATGGAATGGGATTGGGATGGGATTGGTTGGGAGGGAATGGGATGGGATGGGATCCATGGAACGGGATTGGGATGGGATTGGGATGGAATGGGATGGGATTGGGATGGGATCCATGGAACGGGATTGGGATGGGATTGGGATGGGATGGGATCCATGGAATGGGATTGGGATGGGATTGGGATGGAATCCATGGAATGGGATTGGGATGGAATGTCATTGGGATGGGATCCATGGAATGGGATTGGGATGGGATCCATGGAATGGGATTGGGATGGGACACCCCCCAGGGCTGCCCTGACCCCATCCCTGTCCCAGACTGCGGGGACGCGGATCCGTCGCAGCAGGAGTTGCGGGAGCAGCTGGAGGACGCGGTGCGCGTGGCCGAGCGCTTCACGCGCCGCTAYGACGCCCTCCTGCGCGAGTTCCAGGAGGAAATGCTCAACACCTCGGGGCTGCTGGACCAGCTCAACCGCCAGTTCGGCTGGGTGTCCCGGCTCGCCAACTTCTCCCGGGAACCCGAYGGCTTCCTGCAGGTCACCACGGTGAGGCTGCGGGATTGGGGCCGGGATGGGATTGGGAGCGGGGCTGGAGTGGGGCCAGGATTGGATTGAGGTTGGGAGTGAGGCTGGGAGTGGGGACGGGATGGGATCGGGGATGGGACGGGAGTGGAGTCAGAATGGGATTGGGAGCAGGGTTGGAGTGGGGCCGGGATTGGACTGAGGTTGGGAGTGAGGCTGAGAGTGAGGCTGGGATGGGATCGGGGCTGGGATGGGAGTGGGGTCAGAATGGGATTGGGAGCAGGGTTGGAGTGGGGCCGGGATGGGATTGGGGCTGAAGCTGGGCTGGAATGGGATCATGGCTGGGAGCGGGATGGGATCGGGAGTGGGGTCAGGATGGTATTGGGAGCAGGGCTGGAATGGGGATGGGATGGGATCAGGGATGGGACAGGAGTGGGGACGGAATGGGATCAGGACCAGGGTTGGAGTGGGGTCAGGAA